ATTATTAATACTATTAGTAATATCTTCGGTAAAGGCTTTGATGCATAAAATATTTCTGCATAATTAAAATATTTATGATAAAGGTAGGTTGTTTACTTTTGCCCAACTGACCAATCTTGCTTTCATAAAATATACCAACTTTTTAATGACTGATGATTAACATGCTGTAATACACAGTTTACATTTAAAAGCTCAAATGCTGTACATGAGAGCTTAAGCTTTATTGGCTCCTCCTCGCGGTTTTACAAGGTCAAATAACGTCAAATGACACGTTACACCGCATGATACTGCGTGATACTGTGTTTTTATGCGACACGCCCACCATGGTGTACCGCGAAATACCCCAAGCATTTTGAATGGCTGAATCTGTACAGTAAGTAGAGTTGCTATTTAGATTTATTTTAAAGTGGTAACTCTACTTAATGTATGTATGTTATATGTTTTAATTTCTTATATTTGTATTAGATTTGATAATTGTTATTATTATTTCATAAAACATGAAGCATGAACAAAATTTCTCCCAAGTCATGTTTTCTGCTCAGGGAGATATTTTTAATGCAGAAGCAATCTCCTACAGATCAGACAAGAAAGCTTTACTGAAATCTTGCAATTCAATGTAACATCCTACCAAAATGCATAAAGTCTGCATTTTCCTTTGTCAGTACCTAAAAGTGTATAGAATGTACATATAACACTGTATTGTACAGTATACACAATGTCTTTCAAAAGTATTAACTTCCCTGCAAAGTATGTAAGCAATGTTTTTTTCATGCTGTCTGAGTTTGCCATCTTGAAATAGGACATTATATTTACAGTGCCTTGCGAAAGTATTCGGCCCCCTTGAACTTTTCAACCTTTTGCCACATTTCAGGCTTCAAACATAAAGATATAATTTTTTTATTTTATGTGAAGAATCACCAACAAGTGGGACAAAATTGTGAAGTGGAACGAAATCTATTGGATTTTTGAAACTTTTTTAACTAATAAAAAAATGAAAAGTGGGGCGTGCAAAATTATTCGGCCCCTTTACTTTCAGTGCAGCAAACTCACTCCAGAAGTTCAGCGAGGATCTCTGAATGATCCAATGTTGTCCTAAATGACTGATGGTGATAAATAGAATCCACCTGTGTGTAATCAAGTCTCTGTATAAATGCACCTGCTCTGTGATAGTCTCAAGGTTCTGTTGAAAGCGCAGAGAGCATCATGAAGACCAAGGAACACACCAGGCAGGTCCGTAATACTGTTGTGGAGAAGTTTAAAGCCGGATTTGGATACAAAAAGATTTCCCAAGCTTCAAACATCCCAAGGAGCACTGTGCAAGCGATCATCTTGAAATGGAAGGAGTATCAGACCACTGCAAATCTACCAAGACCTGGCCGTCCCTCTAAACTTTCAGCTCAGACAAGGAGAAGACTGATCAGAGATGCAGCCAAGAGGCCCATGATCACTCTGGATGAACTGCAGAGAACTACAGCTGAGGTGGGAGAGTCTGTCCATAGGACAACAATCAGTCTTACACTGCACAAATCTGGCCTTTATGGAAGAGTGGCAAGAAGAAAGCCATTTCTCAAAGATATCCATAAAAAGTCTCGTCTAAAGTTTGCCACAAGCCACCTGGGAGACACCCCAAACATGTGGAAGAAGGTGCTCTGGTCAGATGAAACCAAAATCGAACTTTTTGGCCACAATCCAAAACGATATGTTTGGCGTAAAAGCAACACAGCTCATCACCCTCAACACACCATCCCCACTGTCAAACATGGTGGTGGAAGCATCATGGTTTGGGCCTACTTTTCTTCAGCAGGGACAGGGAAGATGGTTAAAATTGAGGGGAAGATGGATGCAGCCAAATACAGGACCATTCTGGATGAAAACCTGTTGGAGTCTGCAAAAGACCTGAAACTGGGACAGAGATTTATCTTCCAACAAGACAATGATCCCAAACATACAGCAAAATCTACAAAGGAATGGTTCACAAATAAACGTATCCAGGTGTTTGAATGGCCAAGTCAAAGTCCAGACCTGAATCCAATCGAGAATCTGTGGAAAGAGCTGAAAACTGCTGTTCACAAACGCTCTCCATCCAACCTCACTGAGCTCGAGCTGTTTTGCAAGGAAGAATGGGCAAGCATTTCAGTCTCTCGATGTGCAAAACTGATAGAGACATACCCCAAGCGACTTGCAGCTGTAATCGCAGCAAAAGGTGGCTCTACAAAGTATTAACGCAAGGGGGCCGAATAATTTTGCACGCCCCACTTTTCATTTTTTTATTAGTTAAAAAAGTTTCAAAAATCCAATAGATTTCGTTCCACTTCACAATTGTGTCCCACTTGTTGGTGATTCTTCACATAAAATAAAAAATTTATATCTTTATGTTTGAAGCCTGAAATGTGGCAAAAGGTTGAAAAGTTCAAGGGGGCCGAATACTTTCGCAAGGCACTATACAGACTACACCAGGAATGGCCTTTCCTGGTCATGGAGCACCAGTGAGTCTGTAGGTTTTGTGGGTTTTTTTAATCTGAACAATGTGAGAAGCGTTCAAAGTGATCTATCAAAGCCAGTCACCAGCTGATTTAGCTAGCTAAAGGCTAAGATGGAAAACAAGCTAAAACATTTAAAATTGCTGAATACTCCAGGATTTACTTTATGGAAAATTCCTGACTCATTGTCCTTTTGGATAAAATTACCAGTTTTCTCAACTTTTTAGTCTCTGCTAACATTTTCTTAAAGAAGACTACCCTTAGACGTGGTATATAGCCTTTCACATCTAACCAAACATCTTTCTCCAATTTCATTGTTCGACATCTGTAAAAGAAAATAAATCAGATTGCTACTGCTATCCTGTTTAGACCAATCTGCTGCATAGGCTTATAAAATTCATGCAGACATTAGCTGAGAGACATAGAGTTGAATTCAGCTTTTATTCCTGAAAATAAAATTATTGACCTTTTAAAAAGGATGTGTTGGCAGATCAAATCTGCTGATCGATATTGTCCTTGTAAAAACAGCACTATTAAGTTTTCAGTAAATGGATTAGTCTCTAGTTTGAACATGGTAATAAAGAGATACAGTATGTAAAGAAGACTGAGTATGAGAATAAGTGGAGAAAAGCAATTGAAAGAATGAGACAAATTAAAAAGAGAAAACTCTCCTGATTTTGATTGAACAATTTTCTAACAATAAAACACTTTGTAAATGGACAAAATTGATGCATACACTATAACTGCTGCAGATTTCATCATTAAAAAAATAAGAGGATAAGTACATTTGTGAAACTATGAATTTATATGAAACGTGTATTTCTAAGTAGGCTTTGTAATCAGCTCCATAAAAGAGTACAGTTATTCTTAGCTACATAATTCATCAGCATAACTCTAAAAGGATGGAAGTTGGGGTGAGGTGGCACAGTAAAAAATGAAAAGTTGAAGACCTTAGACAAACCTGTTAATATAAAGTTCTGCCAAAAGTCAGTTTTAGAAAACAAAAAAAGATTACTGTCACGGATGTCGGAAGGGACCAACCGTAGAATGGCAGGAGAGAGAAAAGACCCTATGCGTAGCGGCAAGACAGGGGTTAGCCCGGGCTCAGCTGTTCGGGGAATGCCGTATAGAAACCTATGCCCTCAGGTAGTGGACGTGGGACGACCTGGTGCTAGGTGGGTTTCAGGACATCCGAACGTCAATGCTGAGTGAAGGCAGAATGAAAGACCCGGAAATATATAGCCCCAGGGAGAGAAACACCGGAAAGACAGCAAAGAACCTGAAATGAGAGACAGGACAGAGAAGGAGCGCCCTCTGGCTGCAGAGGCCATGACAATTACTTCCTTCAATGTGGCCACGCAAATTTAGCAGGGTTGTAATAAAAAGAGAATGAAGAAAGACATGGTGAAGGAGACTAAGGGCCCTTTCATGCTTCATTTTATTGAACAACAAAGAACAGCTAATAGGTTTTGCCTTATGTAAAGGAAGGGGATGATGTGAATGAACAGGGAACAAGTACAATCTGACAGCATCTAGAGGAAAGAGAACAGAAATGTTAGGTTCAATGTTGCCTCCTAGGACCAGTAAAGACAGCATTGTTAATGCCTTCAAGAGCATCTTTGAATTAAATTAGCTCAGAGGAGGAATGGATTAGGAACAAGTACCCAAATTACCATGATTGGAATAGGATAGCAATTAAAATAAATATTCTGAGTACACAGATATGAGTTTAATTTTCCTTTTGTATTTACCATTTCAAGCTGCAAATTCTGTACAAAAGATACAAATAGGGCACCCACAAAAGGATGTAATAATATGTTGCATATTTATAGTTTACTGTCTGCAAGATTAAACAGAGCACCATTGACAACATGAAGCACTGTGATGACATGGGAGCAGTCAGAGGACTTATTTATTTCTGAAGAGGAACAAAAATTGTTCCCTAACACTAGAATCCACAACTCAGAAACAGTAGTACTGTACTGGTAACAGGGAGCACATCACATGACAGTCAGTACTGCTTTTTTCCCACTTCATGTATATTCTTCACATCAACAAACTGAGACTATCAGAGATTGGCAGAAAGTAGAATTTTCTGATGAATGAGAATATGCTAATTCACTTACATATAGGCTCTACACCACACCACAGATGCAGAAGCATAACCAGTCTAACATGTTTATTGTTGTTTTCTAATTTTTGTGAGAAATGTTAGTTAGAAACCACATTTGTCCCAGTAGTCCTTTCCAAGTTTTGTATTTAAAACTATGTTTTTTAAAATTTCCTGAGCAGTGGTAGCATGTAAAAGTTACAACAAATGATTACAATCAGCATGAGGTGTGGACCGGATCTTGGTGTTCCCTCTAAAATTCTAGTGTAATCCTTTCTGACCTAGAGAAGAAAGTATTAACGAGTGCAGAAGGTTATAAGGTAGCCCTTTGATGCCATTCGAATGAGACTAGAAATGTTGCTCTTATCTGCCTTACAATCCCTTCCCATCTTTTCTGATCAACCTTGCAGAGAAGCTGACATTCCAAGAAATGAAGTCTCCGCAGGAATTCCGGCAGGGTGAGGTGGCAGAGGTAGCATGTAATGTCACCAGTTCCCCTGTGCCCATTGTCACCTGGCTCTACAATAACATGGAGATCACTGCAGACAGCTTCAGTAAGTGAAACAAGGGCAGGACCAAGATTTTTTTGCCTGTGCATTTCGACATTTACAATGCTGATACAATTAAACAACAGCCTAATGTGAAACTTGGAAGGCTAATGCATTTCAGTTATCAGCACTTAGCCGTTAACACAGCACCAATGATGCTGTAACACTCTAATTTATTGAAGCATAACTTTTGCTTTTGGTGTGCTTTGTGGCTCAAAAAGTGAGGTAGAGTGAATTGCACAGTCTACTGATTTCTTTAAAATATTTCATTAAGAAACGTTCTTTGTCACTACAGCTGGACTTTCTCCCATCTGTTGTGAAATCATAACAGCAACCAAGCACATGCAACACACACATGCAGTACATGAAAATGACTATTTTCTGAATTCGGCAGACATGCTGAAAAAATAATGATGTACAATCACAGAATTTCAAACGTAGCAGGGTCAGCTTTGAAATAGACTAGGTAACGCACATTTGAAAATGCAATTACCTAAGGAGAGAAATTCGCTACCTGAATCCAATTGCATAGTTAACATTTTTAAAATCAATTATTATGTTATGAAATTCAAATGGGTCTTCTGTAATTCAAATATAGTGCTAAAATATATCCTATCAAATATGTCCTAACACTTGAGTAAGGTTAAAGGTGTTGGGGAGACCCTCTGCACTTTCCAATGTGACTTACTGTACTATCAGTAAATTACTCAGGGATTTACATTTATAATTCTTATACTTGTATTTTTTAACATATAATAAAAATGTTATGAGTGAAATTCAGAAGTATACATGTATGATTTTGTTTTTGTATTTAGTGTTAATATCATGTTTATTATGTATCTTAAATTATAAAAATTTCCAAATGTATAAACAAACACAATACACTCAGATCATTGGAAACTAGAATGTTATTTAAATGTGCAAGGCATTTCAACACTCAATTCTGTGATATTAAATTAGTTTATTAATCCAGGTTAATAATAAGTTATCATCTTAGAGAAGATTTACCAAAAACAAATGTTTTGAATACAGGGAGGAAAAGAGATCCAATTTCCCTATGTCCAAAGATCCCATATGTGGATAATTTTCTTGCCAACCAGACATCTTGGGGTTAACATTTAAACCTACCCTGTAGAAAGTCTGAATTTATCTTGCCACAGCTATACAGTTTGCACATCTCATAGGATCCCAGGTGATCAACTCATACTATACATTTTAAATATTTTTTAATATAATTTTGGCATTAACGAACAGTATTTAATTGTATTCTGTAGCAGAGATGAAAAGGTGTAGATATTTGGCAGTGGGAAGATTATCTCTGTTTTGGGAATATTTGTTCATTCTAATTATAGGAGATACTGTTTAATTTGCCAGAATCAAACAGAGTCTTACTGCATTTCTACACCTGCTATCGCAAGTACAATAGAGGGCACATTTCTGATTTAATTTTCATTTATCTGTACTCTGTAAGGCCTTTGTAAATGCAAAGCAAATGCAAAACTTACCATGGAACACAAACACTAAATATATGCAGTATATAATATAAACCTGCAGCCCAAGACAAAAACTGCAGTGAGAAGTGAGAAGGCAGTGAGAAAGTCTGTAGTCTACTCACAATAATGTGTCTTGAGATTTAATGTGTCTGCAGTAAAAGATGGTTTGAAGCATTTACTTTTTTATGTGTTATAGGATATTATCATCGCAGTCAAAAAGTTACCAGTGGCTATTGCCCACATTCCATGCAAAACACTAAAGCTGGGCATTTTACTAGTCATTTGCATTGCTCACTATGTTTCCAACTAAAGCAGTAGCTGAAAAAAGCAGACCAGAGTGAAGCAATTTTTGCAGCTTTAAAATGCCAGCTGATTATGAAGCATCCTGTCAATGCATGTAGCTCCTGAGTGAAGAGCCCTCAGATGGAGAATCTTCATAGCTGTTCTAATTGTACTGTAGTAGTTGTCATCTTCACAGTTTGCCCCTTCCTCTCTCTCCTCAGAGCGCTTCCAGATTCTTCCCAACAACAACCTGCAGATTCAGAAAGTAGCAAAGGCTGATGAGGGAGTGTACCGCTGTGAGGCCAGAGTGGAGGCCAGGGGAGAGATCGACTTCAGAGATATCTCTGTCATTGTCAATGGTGAGAGCAACATTCAGAAGGGAGTTAAAATAAAGCATTTTTTTGCGTGGGTAAAGGGAACACACATTTCCAAAGGAACTCCTAAACACATTAAAGCCAGATGGTGCTCAGTAATTAAAATAAGAAAAATGGCTTGCTTGCTAGAACAGAACCATCTTGCAAAATCACAAGAAAGTAAATACATATTGAATACATCTGTTTTACAACATTTTTTTTTTTCTCGTAATTATCTAAAACTGCATTTCACTCTCAAACTATATTATCTTTGTCAGAACTTCAGGTATAGGTAGAAACTACTGTCCAGGGTATAATTTCATGATAAAGTTGATCATGGTTTTAGCTCTAAATGCTTCCAAGTGCTTTTTGGCTCTTTTATCTCCAAAAGACTCTGTGAACCAATCAAGACTGTGAAACCAGATTAACCTTTTCCGAAAAGTTTCTATTATGTTCTGTTAGAAAATCAAACTTATATAGAGTATAATATATATACAGTTTGTGTGTAATATATATGTATATGTCTTAGTTGTGATTTGTTGTGTGCGCATGTACCATATGTGCATGTACTCTCCAAAACTCACTTCACAGGCAAGAGAGACTTTCCAATAACTTTTCAGTTCATTTCGTCTAGAACATCTGCAAGCTTTTTCCACTGCTTCACAGGGTGATGGGATCTCTTGTAATAAAATGGTGTTGGTCCCTAAGCCATTCATACTCTACCAATTGAAGTACTTGTCATCGCTGTAGTTCTGACCTTGAATAATTCAGACCGTGCAGATAAAAGGTTGTAAAAAATATCAAGGCATATCCAAGTGTCAGTGAAGAAAACAATTTTCTGGGATCACAGGAGTGTGAGACCTAATTCAATGTGGGATATTAAACAATAATAAGTACTACATATCCTTACCACAGGTGTCTGTAATTGATTTTACAGTCTCAAATTTACATGTCTGTGTTTTCATCTGTTGGGTCAGGTGAATGAAAGTCATGCATACAGAGTGTGATACAAACCATTGGTTTTAATTTGAATTAAAAGGTTTAAAGACTAAAAAAAATAGCTACACATTATTTTGATCTCAATACCATACACTTACCTCTGTTCTATTTTATCTAAATTTCAAGCCTATTTCATTTTTTTTAATTCAAATATTCAAAGCAATTTGAACAGTGCAGAATTCTTCAGTATAATACAGTCAATGGGCCCTGTTTTTCATTATGTCATAGATACGTACATAGCAAGGCTTATTAAATTTGATAGAATAGAAAATCAATGATATGATCTCTATTTTAATTAGGTCAGTTTTTGTTTTTGTTTTGTTTTGTTTTCCTTTTGCTTTTAAATTGCGTTTAGAGTTCTATTAATCTTACATTGAGCTCAAGGGTGAAACTGAGAATATTAGTGTCCTATTAAGCAGAATGAACTGAAGGGAAAATGGGATTTCTTTCCAATATAATTTTGTATGCAATTATTTAGCATATAACAACGACAGTAACCATATTGATAGATCACATAAATTACCTGATATAATCCCTGTTTATGGTATTAAGACAATCTCACATGATTGCCTTTATAAAAGTTGTAGTTATAAAATTATGTTTACTTATTTAAGCATATAAATTGTAACTGGAATAGAGACTGTTTTAATGAGTAAAATAAAATGTTTAGACTTTGAAATGTATTTTGTTTACAAAACAGTTCTGGTTGAATGTAATTATATAAGCTTTACATGTACTGTATAAATACGTGCTACCACCCCATGTGACTAAAATAGCAATTTCCATCAATATATAAAACATAACAGAACATGTACATCTACATACATTTTTTCTTAAATATATTTTTTTGTGGTATTATGGCATCTTATGAAATACTTCACTTCAGAAACTGTTTCTTATGGTGCACTGTGAATTAGACATTGAGCAGTCATTACCAGCATTCTGAATGCTGGTCACAGACTGTTTTCTGCCTGCAATGAGTACAGGATAATCTACCCATGGGGAAAGTGCTGGTATTTCATGCCACTGAATTAACATCCAAGGGCTTATTAATAAACAATTTAGATTCACAGGGCCATGTGTTTGTCAAAGAAAATGTTAACATTGCACAGTACATCTCTTTTTGTATGAGAAATGCATTTTTCCTCAGTGGTATTTGTGCAAAAGTTTTTATCCTGAAAAGCCCAAATGAGCTGGGCATAAGGTAAGCAGCAGAGCCTCTGTGTGCCCTTGTCTTTCCAGCAAAGGGGAAGAGACAGGAATGAATCAACACCTCAGTCCTTCAATAGCTGATATTCAGAGTTTGAATTAAGAAAAAACAGAATATTTTCTAATTCATTTTTTCCCGCTTGCTACATTTAAATGTCTTTTAACTGAGAATTAGTATGTGGGGTGCAAACAGCAAAAAAACTAAAGACCAGAATACAAACACTCCCGTAATCCCTCTGAAGTAATCTCAAAACCAGTCTGATTGGTGTATCTGGTTCTTTGGAAAGGAGTTGTCATCTTGTAGTCATTATGGTCAGTGCATTAATTTAACATGGAACAAAGACAGTTGAAACTGGTTTTCAATATATTTTGAATGTTCTTGAGGGATTTCACTGGGTATTCACTTTCCTCCCACAGTTCAAAGAAATGTTAACTAGATTGATTTGCACATTCAAATTATCTCCGTCTGTGCACCCTGCAATACACTGGCATCACCTAGAATATACTGTATCTTTTCTTGTGCCCACTGTTCGTCAGGTTAGGCTCTGGCTCACCACAACTTGTGTTAGACTAGGTAGAAAAAATGAAAATTAAAAAAAGGTAGTTGTAGTAGTAGTGATAATAATAATAATAATAATAATAAGAAGAAGAAGAAGAAGAAGAAGAAGTTAAGCTAATTGATTCTCAGAAACACCTTGTGAAATGCCTGTTTTGGCATTTTGGCAAAACCGGTCCTGTTAGACCACAAATACTCATTAACAGTGTCACTCTTAGACATAGGGAATTCATAGCGACAGTATAGATTGTCCTATATATATAGAACAATATATATATTGTTCTTTAGTTCTCTAGTGCACATATTGAAACAAATCATAACTGTAATCATATTAAGAGTTTAGATTTGTATTACTTTCATTAAAAAATTAATTAATTTCATTAAAAAGGTAACAATATGAAAATCTATTACTTAAAAGAGAAATTGATTATGTGCAAGGCAAACAAATTCATATGCTATCTGTAGGCAATCTATGGGCAAACTGTCCACTCCAGAGTCAATTAGATGTGGCTATTTGCATAGAGTCAGCCTGCTGGAAAAGAAATTAAACTAACACTACGTTAAAGTCAATGTGGAAAGAATGAGGCCAAAAGAAAAAGTATCTTCCTTTGAATGAAAAGTAATGTATAATGTACCAATAGTACTTTTCTACAGGACCTGGTTATTCATTCAAAACATAGTTCTGTAACTTGTATATGTGATACCATTTTTGTTTATGTATCTTGTCAGTTACAAAAAGTATTTTAAAGAAATACATACTTTATATGAAATATGTAGTTCCTATTGATTAATATGTTCAAGGGTTCTTTGCAGGCCCCATAATTGCATGAAGGTGATCCATGACATTGTACAACAGTAATCAAAGACCTCAAATGAAGCTCTGCAATGAATGAGGTGTCAAGGTTTTTTTTAAATTACTTTTACTTATCATTGAGACCTGATATCTATTTCATAAAAAAAATAAAATTCATCCTACTTGTACTTCTACCGAGAGATGATAGTTTTTTGTCATGGAAATATTATTTTTTTTAAGGATCACTTACTGATGTCAGACTTCTGCCAATTCTCCAGACCCGTCTCTGGAAGGATAAACAGTTTACCCCCCTAGGTTCGTCCAATTTGCTAAAATTGTCCGGGTCTGGATGGAGTTTCAGCAGCCGTCCGCGCTCAGGTTTGTGATCCCGGACGAGCCCCCAAACCATTTTCATGGACATATAACTATCAAGGAAGCCACAAGAGAGAGTTTTCACCTGAGTAAGGTCTTTATTTCAATATTGCAATATTGGGAGCCCTGTTGCCACACTGCAAAGTGCCTCAGAGACTCAATTTATTACAAGCAGTACAGGGTTTTTATTAGATGTTGTGCTGTAAGAGAAAGCTCAGCACTTTGTCCCTTCTAACACTTCCCCTTTCCCAAAGACAAAACAGATTACATCATAAAACGAAAGAAGAAGCACCACTAGATTTGTTTTTCAAAGCTTATCAGTTACTTTCGGCTAATCTAATGACCTAGACAGCATATATTGTTTTGGTACATTGTCTTCTAAAGTAACCTAAACAGTGCATACTTTGTTATATATTTTCCTAAAGCTCTCTACATTTTGAGAATCAATTTACTTATTAGATTTCCATTTCAGTTTTATAAGCAGCAGTGAAAATGCTTTTCTGAAAAGTAATAGAAAAATTAATTAACACTAGAATACATGAAGAAAAGAGTAGTACACACTGACTCACCTGAACACATGAATTATCTAGCCTTTGCTTGGTAATAGAATGTGTTTAATGGACATGTATTTATTTATTTTTATAATGGTTTCCCAAATACCTGCAGTAAAACTTTAACATCAGCACAAATCATTGGAACAGACCCCAGACATCCATTAATGATACATTTAAGCTTCTGTGACCACAGTATCACACAATATTACCCCCCACACACACCATCTCAAGAGAGCAGTCTGGCTGAGCAGATAGACTTGTGGGACTGAAGAACACTGTTGAACTCAGTGAGGAGAACCTGTTTTGGTGGCTTTGATGTTACTTTGTCTGCTGTGCAATAGAAAGAAATAAAGACTCATGAGGTAGGTAAGGCCAGGAAGTATACAGCTACAACAAGCTGCTCATTCTACTGCCTGTTTTATGATGCTGATAGATGGACTAATGCCAGGGAAAGTGTTAGAGAGAAAGAGAACCCGTGATTTTTTTCAGACTGATAGGTAAACTGTTGTTTTCTGGATTCTCT